ATTACCACCAAAAGTTGGTAATGCTAACTTGGGTAATTTAATATTGTCAAGAACCTGTTCTAAAATTACACTATTAGAATTATTTTTACTATTTTGATTTTTTAATATTTTTTCACCTTTAAATTTCCACAAATAAATTTTATCTGTGTACTCCTGAACATTATCTATTTTGTTTTCTAATTCTTTAGTATCTGTAATTAAACTTTCAATTTCAGAATCAAGCTTCCGTAACTCAGTTTCTTTTTGTTTCAATAATTTGACACATTCCTCTAGTTCTATTAAATTAATTTCATCTGCAGTTAAAATAGTTTCAATTTTCTTTACATAATTAGTAACACTCCTGCGTAAAACCGTTCTTTTTGTTTTAAAAGTTATAAGTTCACTCATAATTGATCAATTCAAAAACTGAAATTGTTCTTAAATCACTTAACACTATTATTAAAATGAAATCAAATTCTATGCTGTATTACAACATTGTTCTTAAAATTTAACAACAAATTAAACGAGTTTTTGTTCAAAATCCACTTACCTCACAAAGTGGAGTAATTTTTCACCAACCATATGCATATTTACGTTGTTACAATACGCTTAGAACAGTCACTATCTTCACTAGCACTAGACTTTTGACCATTAATAAATGCTCTTTACTTAATATGTTTCACAAACAATAATCACTTAACACATGGACTGTATTCCTTCACTTTTATTTCATTACACTAATTATAAATAAGATGTCAGCGATGCGAAATAATTGATACAAAATAAGCGAGTCATTCTACATGGCTGTCACAAACACAATTCTATCAATCAATTATCTTGTTGCCACACATAAATTTCAAAACTAAAGGAAGAAAAAAGAAATTTACACTGCAACAATAAAATGAAGCAAACAATACTCACATAAACATTAAGCTTTTTTTTTTTTTGTTAATTTTGATGCCCTTTAGATCATAATTGCTCTTTATTTCATAAATTATAGTTTCATATTTTTAATTTTATAATTTCTGCAGGCTATCGTACCAGATTTAAACTGATGATCTATAATCCGGAATTGCCGAAGTCCCGACGAGTCCGGATTAAAGACTTTTGACTGTGTTGAATATTATTTCTTCAGAACTATATGAAATATGGAAGTGAATTACTTCTATTTATTAATTTATACAATTTATTTAGTTTGAAGAAATTTCATGAAATTTTTACCAAAAAAAAAAAAAAAAAAAAAAAAAAATCTTTGAATTGCTATTTTTTCTGCTGTAAGAAAAGCTTCTAGTGAAAAAATTCAGAAGGTTTAATTTGCATTTAGTAGTTAAGAATTTCATCAACCTTTTAAGGCAGGGTTTTGAATTATTGTTTTGCACAGTAAAAAATCAGATGTGACCAGCACATGACCAATTTTAAATAATAACAAGCTTCAAGTAAAATATCAAATGATGCTTTACTTATTGCTATTTAAAACATGGAATTAGTTGAGCATTTGTAAATAAAATTTAATATGTTTACAAACTCATGTTATCAATGTTAATTATAAACACTAGTTTTTTTATTATTCTATTCTCTAATATAATAGAAATGATGTATAATTATGTGCACATCTTTTCTCATGCTTCCGTTTGAAAATTTTGCATTAATCGTAGTATATCATCTGGTTGTACAGTGCTTTGGATTCACAAATCAATGATTTAACAATCACACAATTTGTAAAAGTATCATATCTTAGAATTCCAGATAAAGTGTCACCATATATTTTTTCAGTCCTTTCATAGTTCAGAATATGTTCAGTTTTCTTAATAAGTTGACAAACATTTTTTAATTTCTCATTTTAACTTTATTAAACATCACTTTCTTTGTTATGGTCTGTCAGTAAAATACCATTGCTAGTTGTCCAATATCAATTCAAATCTATAATCAAGAAATGTAGAAAGCTTAAATGCAAAAATTAGAAAATTTTTAAGTTCCATTTAAAATGTTGTGGATAACTAACACACACGCACGCACACACACACACACACACAAAAAAAAAAAAAACTTGTATTCCAAAACTAGCAAAAAGATTATTAATTTAGAAGTTAAACGACAAAAATCAGCGTTATATTTTCAAATTTTCACAGAACTAGTTTCGATGGTTTTACTGAACCATCATCCTCAGCTTCGAAAGCGCAAATGAACGAGATAAGATGTAATGATTAAATAAGATAAGAAAGCTGGAAAGGAGTCAAGCTACTGACGTCACCTGTTGATGAAACTAGAAACTAAAACATAATTTCCTTACAGACTGAAGGCAAAGATGGATTGGAATTAGGGTTGTTAATTAAAACAGAAAGCTTTTTTTAATGTGAAATGCCTCTAGAAAATCTAGTTCACCAATGGAAGATGTTTTTAGAATAATTTTATTAGCAGAAAAATTGAAAGGTGATTTTTGGACCAACAACATTCGGCAACAGAAGACTTCTGTGTTTTCTTTTTTCTAACATATGCCTCATGTTCCTTAACATGAAATTTTAAGGCTATCTTAGTTTGACTAATTTAAATTAAACCACACTGGCAAGGAAATACCCCAGGAATTCATATCCGGAATGTGGTCCTTCAGTATGGAACTCGGAATTTTATTGATGGAAGAATAAACGACCCGAAATTTCTTCAAAATATGTGCAACCTTATAACTAATTGATGGAAAGAAAAGAATCACAACAGAATTTTTATAATCTCCTAAAACAAGAATGTGCCTTTTGGTGCGTTGAGATGAGAATTATTTTAGCTGCTTGATTAATAATGTTGGGTGAAGTGAAAATTTGAAAATATAATGCTGATTTTTCTTGTTTGACTTCTAAATTAATATTTGTTTGTCATGTTATCGTAATTAGCAAAAAGATTTTTTGGATTTTTAATTCAGGCCTTTTCACAAAAACTATTGGACTTGAACCGAAAGCATTAACTCTTTTACCAATGTACAGTGGTGGCCAAAATTGTGGACACCAATTTTGGCCATTAGAAATTTTTATGTTTTTGAAATTTGTATGCTTATAGAAAACATTACGTTTCACCATATGCAAACTTCTATATATCATTTTAAAGAGAATTTATTACTGAATTCAATACAAAACACAAAATGCAATTATTTGCAATACAAAAAAATTAAATGATAATTATCGATATACGTTAGATAGTGATGATTCCAGTGAGTTATCAGTACTTAGTAGGGTACCCTTTATTTTTGATTACAGCTTCACATCGACGTTTCATTGAGCTGACAAGTTTTAAGCTCTTCTTTCGTTATTACATGATGCAGGAAACAATTATGGCCTCAATTAGTTCATTTTTTTATTTGATGGGCGCCTCATTCAAACAAGACTTTTTCAAACGGTGCCACAATTTTCGATAGGATGAGGTCAGGATGTTTCCTGGCCATGACAACAATTTAATGCTCTTTCTACGAAACTACTCTTTCGATATTTGGTCGTGTGGCAAGGAGCAGAATCCTGTTGAAAATAAATGAACCATTGTTGGGAAAGAGATCTCTGATGGAAGGTAGAAGTTTTGGTTCTAGAATAGTGTCAATTTATTTTCTGGCATTCAGTGTCCCATTGATGACATGAAGATGCCCAATACCATTGCTGACATGCATGACCAAATAATAACACTAACTGGGTTCTTCACAGTTGCTTGAATGCAGCCAGGATGTAACTCTTCTCCTATTCTACGTCTTACATATTGTTGCCCATCACTACCGAATAACGATATCTTAGTTTCATCACTCCATATAACTTGTGACAACTGATCATCTGTACAATTAATGTGTTCCTTTGCCTAGTGTAGTCTTTGTTTTCGTTGCGGAAAATAAAGCTTTTTTCGTGGAATTCTACCTCTCAGTGCAACATCTGTTAATCTTCTCCTGATTGTTCTTGAATTGACAGAAAACCCAGCATCATTCAAATCACTTCTGATGGCGCTGATGACATTTTTCTATTGGAGACATAGTCTTTTTATTCTTTGTCATCAATAGAGTGGTGCATCTTTTTCGGCCTTTCCTTCTTGTTTTTTTATTAATTTGTCTCTGAATCGTAAACAAACTTTGGACTCCAGATGTAGTCACTGTACCACCATTGTCTTGCATTCAGCATACGAAAGACATTCTCGTAACACAATAATATTGCATCTCTTTTAGGTGTCCAATCTACTTTTTATTTGATTGTCATGCTTCTGACTAAAATTAAAATTTTTTACAAAAATTCCTACTTGTAATTGCAGTGTATAAGAAAAAGTCCTCCTTCTACAGAACAAAGCAAAATAATGAATTGTTTCAAGTGTAAAATGATGTCAGCTTCTACTGGCAGTACTAACATGATTTGGTTCTCAGAACAAGAACAGTGATTGCCAGGAAAGCTAGACATTACAAACCACTTCAACTGTGTTTATTTGTATTAAAGTAATAACTTTTGTATTGCAATAATGAATTTTGTGTTTGATTGAATCAGTAAAAATTCTTAAATGATATAGCAATTTCGCATTTGCAAAAACTATTTTTTTATAGTACAATCAAAAACATAAAAATTTCCAAAAGTGTCCACAATTTTGGCCACCACTGTATGTAGGTTGGCAGAAGGCAAAATAAACTTGCTATAAATAAATCACAAGGGTTAATAAACAAAAGTAGTTTTTGTCTGCCCAAAATCCTAAGAGAGGTAAAAAGAAATCTGTGCTTTTATGCTACTATTTAAAAATCTTATTAAAAAATTACACCTATTATAAATTTTTAGAACTATATTTTATTCCTTTGGGAACCATCTTTTTTTCTTGCTTATTTAATTACATTAAAAGTACAAGATAATTATTTCTAATATATAAAATTTATTATTTAATCTACACTTTATATGAAATATTTGTTGAACTGCTGTAACTTCAGAAAGATATATCTACTATTGAGATAGAAGCTATTCAGTGGTCTGTGTTTCGTATTTATTAAAAGGTAAGAGGCAATGCAGTGAGTTTCATATTTAATGCAGGTGGCAAAATGATGGGTGGAATGGAAGGTGGAATAAGAGTTCCAAGCATTATTTCTTGGCCTGGACACATCCATAAACATGATATTGATGTTGCAACATCTCAAATGGACATCTTTTCAACTATTAGTGATCTGGCAAATATTCCTTTACCTACAGATAGAATAATTGATGGCAAATCTCTTGTACCTCTTCTAAAAGATGGTTCAGAAAGTCCACACAAATTTCTCTTTCATTACTGTGGGAAACAGATTCATGCTGCTACTTACATTGATACAAATGGTTAGTATAATCTTTCTTTAAACAAGATTTTAATAAAGCGTTTAACCCTTTGTGCTTTCAGTTGCTTTTGAAGTGCAGAATTACAGCAAAGGATTAATGTTGTTTTTGCAATTTATATGCTAATAAATATTTTATATAAGTCTATAATATTACCATAGAAAATATGAAATATGTACATAAATGCAATTTCAAAAGCACACTCCAAGTTGACAGATGTCACTCTGAGAGTAAATGATTTCTTTTTATTTGTTATTTTATTTATTTATTTATTTTATTATTTTGCTTGGGGGGTAAATTTAATATTTCTTCATTCATAAGTCACATTACAGTACATAAAGTGAACTATTAATTAGTATATATTATTACTTTGCTGTAAACCAGTATGTTAACTTTCAGAATAATGAGTTAAATATTGAACTTGATTTCCAGTTTCACTTGACTATATTTTTAAAATGTTATATTAGTGAAACTTGAATGGGGAGGGGTTTGTAGAAATCATTAATCATTTTGATCATAGAAAGCATGTGAGTACTATCTGCCTAAAGGGCAGATGCCTTTATGGATGACTTTCTAATGGAAACTGCATCCTATTCATATTACACATAATGGGAAAACCATGAAAACTCCTATCTGGCCAGTTTGTCCATTGGGATTTAAACCTGAGCTGCAATCTTGAACAGATTAAATCAGTTTAATGGAATAAATTAGACTGAAGTGAGTTAGCTGGGGAAGTGGAATTAAATTTCACTAAGATATAATATCATAGCCTTTTTTTGTCACGTGAATTTTCTTTTTGGCAGTTTTGGAAGTACGTTTGTCAGATGGTCCAAATTCAGAGAAATTAAAAATTGGGAGGCATGGGGGGGGGAATTGAAAATTTCTGTTTTATTAGCAGAGTTGCTAATTCTGTAATTACGGAATGGATACTTTACTTTGAGGGTGTATTTTTGCAAATAAACATTTGTGGCAAAATCAAATCTTAAAATTTTAATTAATAAAAATATTTTTGTATGAATGAACTTGATAAAAACACTGTTAAATTATATTCATGGATATATGCTATTTATTGTAGAGAAATATGTCGTCATGCGGCAATAGGAGCGCCCCCACCTGAAGTAGAAAAATTCAATTAAGCCTCATTCTTTGATATGTAGAATTTTCCATATGCAGATTTATTAATTAACTGTATATCGTGCACAAATAAATATTTAACTTAACCTTGCTTTGAGTCAATCATATAGATATTATGTTCTTCATATAGAAACATAGATTTTAGATACAGTAAACCTTCACATTAAAATGGCCTTTTGGGCCTCAAAGGTAATTAATTGCTCTTATAAATTATAAATTAAGCACTTATTTTAATTTGAATTAATAATAACCTTGAATTATTTCCGCCTTCTTTAATAACCTTGAAATTATTTTCGCTTCTGAAATATATTTGGAAATTTGCTATTTGTGTATATTGACAGCATTTTTAATTGTAATGAATGGTTTATACTAAAATAAATATATATAATTCCCCCCCTCTTTGCATTTACACAGTTTGAAATCAAAATTCATTTTCATTTCATGTTTAACTGAACAATATTGAAATTATAAGAACAAATGAAAATAAGCAATTTTTTTAATAATTTTATTTCCCTTTCACATATTACAAAAATAATTTTGTAAAGAAAACCGTTTTTTTTTCCCTTTTAAACCTGAAATTCGTCTCCAACCATTTACTTCCTGAACTAAAAAGTTATTAGAAAATTTACATAAAAAAAGATATTTTCGTGATTATAACATGCAATCCAGAATATTTAACTTAACCTTTGCATCTTTTCTGTTTATTGTGATGTGCTGCATTATGTCATCCAGATATTGCTCTGTTGAATGTGTGTGTATATATGTTATGGTGAAACACCGAAATCTGGAGAATGTCGACTTTCACTGGTGAATGTCAACATTCACATAGTAACTTGGGGTGTCCGAAATATTTTCCAAATACTCTTTTCTGTCTTGCACCGGGAATGTTGGGCATTCACTATGTACTAATGGTGAATGTTGACATATAAGAATCCCTTTTCTCCGTAATTCGTCACGAAAAAACACACTTGAGACTGAAATAAGAACTTAAAACACACGTACATTCAAAGAGATTGGAAAATATAGAAGTTAAAAACTTACTAAATTATGTGATTCAATTTATTATTGCATAACTTAAACTATTATGACACTTTGAATGCAAAGAGGCCCCTTGCTTTACAACTGATTATTGTGGAACTCTTCCTTTTGCAATGACAGTGTGTACACATACTCCTCTCTTTTTGATAGATCAAAACCAGAGCATATCTGTGATTGTTGACATACACCGGTGAGGGTACGAATATACAAGAATATAATGCAATATTCGATCTTTCACCGACGTATATGGTGAATGTTGACATTCTCTGGTAAAAGTCAACATTCTCCAATTTCGGTCTTTCAGGGTCATATATATAGCTTGGACAGTTGGAGGCTTAATATTTCTTAGAAGAAATGGTACTTCCTTATTATAGCGGCCCTCAGTATTGAATGGCTAATCAACTGAAATATTTCACCGAAATCTCATGTGTTTTTATATGCCACATGTTATATCTCGGTTGATTAGTAATTAAATTTTGGGAGCCACTCTAATAAGGAAGTAACAATAAATTTTTAAACATTTACACACGCCCTGAAATTATAAAGAATGCAAAAATAAAATAATTAAATGTATTTGTTTTACATTGGTATGTATTGTAAATAAAAAAGGGAAAACTTTTTTATGGATTACTCAAGTTATTAAATGTTACCTAAATATTTCTTAATAATCATCTAATGGTAAAATTCCATTGCACAGATGCATTTTTTAAAAAGCACTAAACTAAAATACTGAACAACTACAGCAATAATACAGCAAAAATAGTAACTGACGATTTTAATGATAGAACATTTGATGAATTTAAAAAAAATTCATTTTACACAAGTTGGATGAAACAAACGATATGATCAAATTCTTTCTATACTTTACAAATAGTCCTAAAAAGAATGCATATAAAATGTGCAACTGCTTCAAAATAGTATATGTATGATACAAAACAATATGCTATACATTTAATGCCATAAGCTTTAAAAAAAGTAATTTTTTTAATTGTGTTTTATTTTTAATAGGACAAAATGTATGGAAAGTACACTGGATCACTCCAAAATTCATACCAGGTACGGACAGGTGTCTATATGTGTGCCACTGTTTTGGAAAGTTTGTTGTTCATCATGATCCACCTCTTCTATTTGATTTGTCTACTGATCCATCAGAATCAAATCCAATTGATGCAATCACCAATGATTATTACTTAAAAATAATTTCAAAAGTAAATGAAGCAAAATTCCAACATTTTTCGTCCTTGGAATACCCAGAGGACCAATTTAGTTTTTTAAATTCTGTTTGGAAACCATGGTTACAACCATGTTGCAACTTTCCATATTGTAAATGCACAGATCTTAATTTCACAGTCCAATCAAGATAAAATAGTGATCTCCAATGCCATGTCTTTTACCTGAAATCATTATTGTACATAGAGTTAAAAATAATTATTTTGATATACAATTCTCAAATTTTATACAGTATTAATATTTATATAAATAAAATGCAATATTTTTGTTCATGTAGTTTTATAATAAAGATTAACTGAATAACCAATCTTTATATGAGATAAAGCATCATAAACTGAAAAATGAATCTTCTAAAATAAAACCATCTGGCTTCAATACACATGTTAAAATATAATACAGCATTAACAAAGTACAGTCAAAAGTCGTTAATTCGGACACCCATAATCCGGATATCAAAGCCAAAAAATCTCTGTGCATGCGCCGCGTTGACACATGCGAATAGGCGTTTACGCATGCTCGTAAGGCCTTTATGACTGCGCATATGCTGGTGCGCAAGCGCAGAATACGTTTTCGCATGAGCGTTTTATGTATAACGGACGGTATAAGCTAAAATTATCTAATTATCTATTTTAGTTAATGTTGATGATTGCATTGCTTCTTAATCTTCGAGTTGGATCCGGCTTATTATTTTGTGCACACTGTAAGAGCAGTTTTATAAAAGTAAACTTGAACTTTCGATTATGTCAAATAGAATTTCCGATGCTGGAGCTCCCAAAAGATCTACAAAATGAAAGTAGTTTCGATGTCCATCAAACAAAAAGTGGAATTGCTGCAAAAAAATGGATAAAGACATGAAGAAGGTGACAGAGAGGTTAGTGAAAAAGAAAAAAAAATTTCGATTGACAAGTTAGTCGGTATTCTCGGCACAGCAATTACGGGACTTGAACAGCGAAATTGTAACTGAAACAAGAAATTATGTCTGTTTATAGAATTAAAGAGAAAGTATTATCACATAAAACGAAGCAACTTAAACAACTTACATTGAAAGAAAGAAATGTTTAATAAAGTAAAAAATAAATATTAAGCTTTTTTTTTTTGTAAATTTTGATACCCTTTAGATCATAATTGTCTTTATTTCATAAATTACAGTTCATATTTTTAATTTTAGAATTTCCTGCATGCCATCTTACAAGATTTAAACTGATGATCTATAATCCAGAAAAATCGATAATCCGGAATCGCCGAAGTCCCGACGAGTCCGGATTAACGACTTTTGACTGTATTGTAAAGAAAAATTCATTAAAAAAAAAAAGAAGGAAAACTTTATATTTTTCTTTTCCTACTAAACACAATTTGGATTTGGTGCTTCTTTGAAACGGTAATTCAACTGCAACTTCATGAAAACACTGGACAGTTTGACATTAAAAAAGAAAAAGTTCATTTTGATAGATCACAATTTGAAGTCTCCTTCCATTAATAATGGGTGAAAAGTATACTTAAAACAGTTAATAAGTTTTCACATTCTATAAAACAAACAGCTTATGATACTGCAAGAGTGAATAATAGAAGGCGAGGAAACTACAAAGAAGTGAACAGAGAACTTAACCCACCGGGCGGCTCGCATTCGAATCTATTTACGTCTCGAAAACTGCAGTAAAAATTAACCATGTTTACAATTTTTTTTTTTTTCATTTAGAGTGAACCAAAATTGTCCTGAAAACGGCCTTTGTTAGATTTTCTTCCCCCCTCTTGTCTTGGAGGTATGTTCCTTGTTGGGCGATCAACAAGTCGTTTCACTTAAGTGATGGTTTCCTACTGTCCTTTTGATTACCGCCTAGAGGCGATTAAGCAGATGGGTTGCTTTTGCCCTTACGGAGGAAGGAACACGTTTTGTGTCCATGCTTTGGTTTAGACGAAAAAAGATATTTTTTTCTGGAAATCCAAAACAGAAAATGAAGTTTTGTATTGCATTGTTTCTAATTTTGTGCTTATCAGAGCCGTGCCAAGATATTTTTTCACCTGAGGCAGAAAGGTCAATGCGCGTCCATATAAATATAAAAATAGCTACACTTGTATTAAGCAAAAGTAATTGTATTAAATCAAAATGTCATAACTCTTATAGCATAATTATACCATAATTCTTAAAGTATTTTTTAATCGTAGTTTTATAAATTCAGAGAAATAATGTAGCCAATTATTTATAATTTTCAAATGAAAACGTTAAAAAATTCGTTTTTGATAAATAAGAAAGAAATAACACTGAAATGCATATTGCATTAATTTCCAGGTTTTCTTGCAATTTTTTTGGTTTGTTTTATTGATTTAAGTTTGACGAAGCCTATTTCCCCCTGACTAATAATTAAAGTAATTTTCGAATTCGTATAGCCAATTTGGCGCCTCTTCTAGTGATTCACATGAGCCCGGCTTTGTTGCTTTTTAAGTATAAATGTTATTGATTTTATTGCGTTTCGGTATTTTAATGTACGTTTATAGAATGTTAATTTGTTTTTATATGCATATTTTATATATGCATATTTCAGTAATATAATCTTACGACTAGTGAGACAGTGTAGTTTAAACTAATTTTCTGCTTTTGATTCATGTTATCGAGCTTTAACGCTAAGAAAAAAAATTTATAAGAGGCTTAAAATACCTAATTCCTATTGAAAGCTACATGTAATTGATAATTAAATTACTATTAAAATAACAAACACATGCTCAGTGTCAGTCATTTCGACATAATGTTTGTAATTCATTTTACCACAAATTTATTTCATTTATCTTGTTTCATATTTATAAAAGGGGAGTTTACCTTTATCGCATTTATTGGTTGATAGAAGTTATTACTACAAGTAAATTTTCTACATATAGACAAGATGTCACAGATACCTCTCAGTTTCCGAACTAAATTACATGGTACTGAAATTCGGTGCATTTTCAAATGATTATTTTTGACAGAAAGAGTTACCTTACGTAAATCACAAAAGAACATTGTTTTAATTCTTAATTAAATATAGCACTTGTATTAAATTGCTAAAATTCATTGTTAGGAAAATCTCGCTCTAAAAAATTAGACACTTTTACCTTTCAAAGTGGAATTTTTGTGGTTTTCTCTGTGCATAATGTGGGCGCGAGAGTAAGTTTTTCTTAGAATGTCCTCCACGGAGGCATTCCTCCCTTTAGGCAGATAGCTCTCGCGTGCTTTGAAGGAAAAATAAAGCAAACCAAAACAAAAGCTTCAAAATTGGTGTTTAACATTTTTTTGGGTTCAAATACGCAAATTACTTAGAGATCTCAATTCACATTATCAAATGTTATTATTTAAATAAATAAAAGCAAGCTGAGGATTTCCATTTAAATTGTTTGTTTTAAAATAAAAAAATAAGAACAGTAAGTTTTGATAAATCTTGTCAACATCAAGCAGGGACAGGAACATGCCAATGTAAAATTTAATATTAGGCCAAAAAGAAACGCTTTGACGTAGATTTTGGATAAAACTTAATCAAATTTGCAGGTAGTCAGAGACAGGCCTTTCTTCAGTAGAGAGAAAAAAATGTTTCTGAAGTATTTGTGTATTTATTACATAAATGTTTTAATGCTTCCATAGCACTGCTAATCGATAAAATTTATTTGATGAAAAGTAGGAAGTTTGCTTTTAAAATTACGATTTTTCAACCTTTTACAGTGACATATGTGGCATCGAAAAACACGTCTGGCCAGGAGGCAGATTAAGGTGCATTCAGACCCGGGCGTAAAGCACATAGAGGCTTAGTCATAAGGGCATAAAATAGGGAGACGTTCACACTGGAAAAGGTGTATATAGCGTGAGAGAGTAATTTGGTGGCGTGGAATGTCTCAACCTTCTCCCGTCGATGATTTCCCGCGTTCGCTCTGCTTGTTTTTTCGTTGTGTCATGGCTTTTTCAACTCGCCACAAAGTTTTATCGGCTCAACAGAATGATCTTTTATCTGCCCTTCTCATTAGCCAAGAGGCAACGGAAGAAGGTAAAAAAAGAAAAATAACAAAATGGTCTAGAGATATTTTTTTGAAAGACCAATATTTGGCACATTATTTCTGTACAAAGCAGTATGGAATATTTCTGCATTGTATGTAGAACTCTCTATACTATAAACATGCACATGCATATTTATATACTACATAAAACCTTCTTCAAATTTATATATAATTTCTCTTAGGAGAAATACGATATTCTAAATATGCCTAATTTAAAAAAAAAATCTGAGGATAACTAAAGATAGCCTGTATAACAGGTTGCAACTCAAACAGGAGATGAAATTCCCTGACTTTTCCAGGTGTGTTTCAAGAAATTCCAGTCTATCGCGTAATGACATTGGCTGTGCTAAGAGGAATTAATTTATGGTATTACTTGTATTGTGTAGCAAAATTCATAATATTCAATAAATCCCAGAGGACTTTATTCTTAATTATTCTTGGATACTTGTTTGATAATTTGTTTAGTTTTCCACTTAAGAAAATAATAAAATTTAAGATATATATATTGGATAACAAATGATGTTTTATTTAATTATTACTCATGATCATCACCAGTTCATCACGAGGCTAATCCGGGTCCTTATAAATCGCAACGCAATGCTAAATAGTTAGGTTAGATTTTAGGTAAATTTAATTTGCGTTGAGGTATGTTCTTAAAACCTTAACACTTCAAAACACAAATATAATTATAATAGTTGTTGTTTTCTCCATGAAGATTGAGATTACAATCTTCCCCAATCTGGAATAAAATAAGGCTTTTTTGCAGACATTCTGCAGCTAAAGAAAGAAAGAAATCTATTTTAATAAATTGAGGTATTTATATTTATTTGCAGCATACATAAGGAAAAAATATGTGCATTAATTCGTGGATGTTCATCATATGCTATAATAATTTCAGGATTATGCCAGAGAAAATTTCCTGAATTTGGAAAATATTATTTACATAATAAATAAATTTAGAGGGAAGAGCAACATTAAATGAATAACATAATATTATATGAATAACATAAAATAATTACTTAAAATTGAATTAGAATAATCATCATATTTTAGCTAATTAGATATTACATGGCTAGCCTAGATGACTGATTACTTTTTTGATTTTACTGAAAATGGCGGTATTTTATTAAAAAGAAAAAAAAAAAAAGGGTTTTTTAAAAAGATTTTGCGGTAAAATTCTAGTACGGTAAGGCTTTGTGGCACGATTTTGAAAATTGTCGCCAACAAGACCAAAAATGACCCGTTACTGCGCTCAGATTCGCCAAATCCCTTATTATTCTAACCAACAAAGCG